TTTTGTTTTGGGAACCAAATCTTGATGTTTTGGGAACCATATCTTCGGCTTAGGATTCAAAGGGTAATTGTTAATGTGATCAAGTATAGTTTCTGGGATGGGATCTAATTGTAGTGTTCCAGTCTCATTGAACAGTTGATAACATCAAGTGTTGATGCGATTCGAAAGTGCTGACCTCAACCTTGGTAGGTTGTGCTCGCGAAAATGGGCCACTTTGCCCATCTAAACAAATAATGCTCACAAGAATAATCAAGAAAAGGGAAACGCACTCAGGCGAGTCGGATTGTAACGCATTGTTGAGTGTCCACGGAGGATGGAGAACTGATTTCGTCAACTGCTGATCTGTTGATGTCTCTAAGCGGAAACGACGTTGAACTTTTTGATCAAATGGCAACAATGCCAGCAAATATGGAGTGTTATCCATAGTCAATACATATGGATTACTGAAATGAATTTAATTGCCCAATAATTTCAGTTGAGCCATTTATCAACTCGAATGCATAATCACCAATGTCCGCCACCTAACTCATTGTCAGCTATGCCCAGCTATACGCCACTGAAAGAACATGAAAGTGCAAAAGCTTCAGCAAAACTAGGATACAATGATGAGTGTTCCATTCATTCATGCATCAACTTCTGGTGAGAAATCAGTCCATTCCGGGGCATTTTGTGGACAGAAATATGAACGCAACAGTTTGAAACAACGCAAAGCCTTATGANTATGCCCAGCTATTCGCCACTCAAAGAACATGAAAGTGCAAAAGCTTCAACAAAAATAGGACACAATCTGAGCGTTCCATTCATTCATGCATCAACTTCTGGCGAGAAATCAGTCCACTCCGGGGCATTTTGTGGACAGAAATATGAACGCAACAGTTTGAAACAACGCAAAGCCTTATGAAGTTTTAACTGTATGCAATGTTCTTTTATTCAAGTTTTCCATTCGACATGAATGGAACTGAAAACAAACCCCAGAATAATACAATGATGGTCCATTGAAAACAATGATTCAAATATGGCTCTACTTCCATCATAAATACGATAAGGGCACATTTAAGGGCAAACTAACTGATGATTTGTTTTGGCATGGATACGTAGGATCAGCTGTAGTAGATGAACAACACGTGCTGAGAGAAACGGTTGTCTAAGTCCCTTCAACAAATATCCGGCTAGCGCAAAATTGAAATTGGCTCGAAATGAAAGGCCAGCACACTGATCGAGTGCTTTCAAGTCCCATTCCAAATGTAAACGAGCATCCATTGCGACACGTTCCAGACTCTACAATCCCAAACTCACAAAATTCATGAGTAATGCTAGACGTAATTGAATCAACAATAAAAACATAGACAAACACTCACAGTATGTTCAAAAACACCCATTTGATCAAGATGAATGAGATTCGAATGCAACAATTGTACAGCATATTCGTAAATGGTAGCGTGTTCCAATTGAAACAACAGAATGACGATCCAAAAACAAAGTCGATGAATTGCCGAATTCGATGGAGTTCGCGTGTGAAGGCGAGTTAACGCCAGTGTAACGCCAGATATGGACGACAGCGATTCACGACGTTTAACCACCTGAAAAACATTAACATTTCAAGGAAATTTCAACAACTGAACAATGCAATTCAATTGATAAGAAATCATTGGTCACGAAATCATTGGAGCTATCGTCCACGTAACTGTGGCATCGTACCATTAAGTACCATCTGAAGATGACTGACTGGAGATCGTTCGTTTCATTCACGAATGTTCACA